ATCGTGACTGTCCCATCAGACAACTCATTGCCTCACACCATCGCTAGTGTGATGTGCTGGACCTCATTTGGTCGTCACACAATAGGAGGCATTGCCATTATCACTACTCGAGCAGTCACTCATGTAAGTAATGGTGATACCACATGTGACTACTCGTGCTCGCTGTTATCCGGTGGGGTCACGTGCTCTCAGTCCTCCAGTCACGACAAAGACCTTCTCCTTCGAATCTGCTCGCCAACCTTACGTGCTGTCCAGACAAGGGTCAACTGCCTTGTATCACGCAGTTCTTTGATTACTTTCGTTGCTTAGAGTGCCGAAGACTGACCCTCAACAAATTCTCACTGGTCAAATCGGCCCATGCAATCCTCTCTCACTCCTTTCAAATGTGGTAGACGTACGAGGACTCTAAGCTCCATCGGACGATGTCCGTAATGCGCTCCCCGCACACTCTTCTTCGCTTTGACTGACCTCCCCACCTCCTGCTCAACGCGCTAGACCGATCACGACGCTCGTCCTGCTCGCCGTCCCGTCGCACTCACTCACCCCGGGCTGGATCAGGTGCACCCCGCTGCTAGCGCATGAGCTGGGATATATGGGCAGAAGATTCCGGCAGGTAGCGTACCAGCGGCGCGCTACCCGCGCCAGCCCGACTTTACTCGCGGATCTGTTCATGGGCACGGACGAGCCGGCGGACTCGTCAGCCCAGGAGGACGATCTGCCTGGGGGCCATGCTGGGGAGCCTGGGGCGCTGAAGGGAATCCACGAGCAGCGGGAGGTGCGGTGGATCGACGAGATGCGCTGGATCAGCGAGGACCGGGGTCGAGGTGCTGCGGAGGCAGGTGCTTGGGGAGGAGGTGCTTGCGATGTGATGTCTGCGTGCGGCTGGAGTGTGTCACTTGGGCTGAGCTCGATTTCATATTGGACGACAGCCCTTCTCTAGGTGACCGTTCCGATGTAATTGTACGGGTGCATCAGACTTAGACTGTGCTCACTCTGCACAAGCACCTGCTTGCTCTCGATCTCCTTCACGAAGCAGCCTGGGGGAATCTTACGCATCACCAGCCGTCTCTCTGCTGCAAAGTCCTGAATCCCTGGGTGACGTAACTGACCACAAGTTTGAGAAATTCAAAGCGCAGAAATAGAGAGGAAATGCTGAACTATGATGGTCCTGCACCTTCGACTGGTTGGCTCCGAGTTGACTCGAATCTCGACATGGAAGTTTAGAGCATGCATACCTTCCGATGTTCTTCTTCTGTTGTGAGCTCAAAGAGTACAAAGTATCGGATCCGGGGACCGCGCACTGGGTCAAACTCTTGACTCACGACTCGGGCCCGGCGGAAGGCTGGTCGTGCCAAGCTCTGATCGTGCACTTCCCACCGCCTTGTCTCCGCGGCGGATACTTCCACCACGTTGTGGGAACCAAAGTTTTTCGCAGTCATCATCCGGGACCTCAAGGAACCGAGACGGCCGAGGTGACTCACCCTCGCCTCCGTGCTCAAGTCCTATATGAACACGCTTCGGCAGGACCATGTTGGCACCAACACTTACAGCCACTCGCAAAATCCACCATGCACTCCGATCCACTCGAGCTAAATCACATCGCACCCCCTTCAGGCGACTCCGAGAAATTGGAGCCCACGAAAATTCACGACAGGGAGGACGTCGAGTATCCCCGCGGGATGAAGCTCGCGTTGATCGTCCTCGCGCTGTGCCTGTCCGTTTTTCTGGTCGCCTTGGTGGGTTGAATTATGTCTAAGACGCTCGGCTTTGTATTCTGATCTCGTCGGCGCAGGATAATACCATCATCGGTCAGTCGGTCGGGACAGGCGGGTCACTTGATGCCATAATTACAACTTTTTTGCAGCGACCGCAATCCCCAAAATTACCGACCAGTTCAACAGCTTGGCTGATGTCGGGTGGTATGGCTCTGCGTCAGTCGCTCGGTGTTACTGTTGAACTTTGCGCTGACAACGAAAAAGATACCTGCTCACGACGTCCGCGTTCCAATTGCTGTTCGGGCGCTTCTACTCGATCCTCTCTCTCAAATGGGTCAGATCATGTTTTCTTTTCCGGAGCTACACGTAACTGACGACTCAAATCAGGTATACGTCGCTGCGATCGTCATCTTTGAGCTGGGGTCCCTCATCTGCGGAGTGGCACAAAACTCGACGACGCTCATCGTGGGACGCGCCATCGCCGGTCTGGGCAGCTCCGGCATCTTTTCCGGCGCGCTCATTATCATCGCCAACTCCGCCCCGCTCGAGCGACGGCCGATGTTCTCGGGAGTCATTGGGTCGATGTATGGGATGGCCAGCGTGGCCGGCCCGCTGCTGGGAGGTGCTTTCACCGACAAAGTGACGTGGAGGTGGTGCTTCTACGTGCGTCTGAGAATACGTGGCACTCGACGCGTCAACTGATGGGATTTTGCAGATCAATCTCCCACTGGGGGCGGTGACGCTCTTGACGATCGTCATCTTCTTCAAATCTCCGCCACGCGTCAAGGCTCGCGGAAACCTGACTCTTGTCGAAAAAATACGCCGATTCGACCCTGTCGGAACGCTCGTCTTTGTCCCAGCCATCATCTGTCTGCTGCTTGCGTTGCAGTGGGGTGGGTCGAGATATGCCTGGTCGAACGGGCGGATCATCGCGCTCTTTGTGGTCGCCGCTCTTCTTCTCTCTGTCTTCGTCGCAGTCCAGATCCGGGAGCAGGAGAATGCGACGGTGCCTCCACGCATCTTGCAGCAGCGCAGCATTCTCGCCGGAGCGTGGTTCATGTTCTTCACCGGCGCATCGTACTTCCTCCTCGTGTACTACGTGAGTGGCTGCACGTCACTGCTGTCGCGCCCGCTGAAAAACACGACCAGCTCCCGCTCTGGTTCCAGGCCATCAAGGGCGTCTCCGCCGTGAAATCCGGCATCGATAATCTGCCGCTGATCATGTCCCTCGTCGTCGCTTCCCTCGTCGCCGGTGTCCTCGTCTCGGTCACCGGGTACTACACCCCGTTCGCAATCGCGGCGTCTGTACTCATTGCCATCGGAGCGGGGCTGATCTCGACCTTCACGCCGACGACTGGCCACGCGCACTGGATCGGGTACCAGGTCGTCTACGGACTGGGGATGGGATGCGGGACCCAGCAGCCGATCTTGGCAGCGCAGGCGGTGCTCAAGATTGAGGACGTCCCCACCGGGACCGCCGTGATGGCTTTCCTCCAAGTACTGTGCGTTTCGATGTTTTGCACCTCACTGCTTGCCCTCTCAATTGTCCAAACAGCGGCGGCGCGCTGGGCGTCTCGATCAGCCAAAACGTGTTCACGAACACGCTCATCTCTCGCGTCGCCTCCCGTGCGCCGAACGTCAGCGTCTCGACCGTCATCCACGCCGGCGCCACGAACCTGCGCACCGCAGTCCCCGCTGCCGACCTCCCGGGCGTGCTGCTGGCATACAACGATGCGCTGATGGCGGCCATCTATGTCTCTGTAGCTACAGGCGCACTCTCCGTGTTTGGGGCCCTCGCGCTCGAGTGGAAGAGCGTGAAGAAGCGTCCGAGTGGGGATGCTGATGCCGGGGGCTAGGGCACAGGGCTGTCCCCTGATTCTGTTCACTTTAGAGTAGACATTGTGTTAATCGTTGAATCGGCAGAGAAATCACTGGTTCCTCTGCTCAAAAAAATCTTTTCTGGGGGTGTTCCCACCTGGATTGCACGCTTTTCTCAAGCTCAGATGGAGAATACTCGTTCGGACACGCGCGAACACCGACGATCTTTCTGGGCACGTGGTGTTGCATGACATCTGCAACACGAGCACGTGCCATCCGTCACCCGGGCTTGCTCTCGACCGCCGACGACTCTACGACGGAAAATGCCAGTGCTCGCGCCGTCCTCGCCCCCGCCATCTTCTGCGACTTCGAGAAATGTTGAATTAACGCCCGCAACCGCGCCAGAGGCGATCTCTCAGCCTCCCGTTGACAAGCGTTGACACGCCCTGGCTTTGTAAGCGATCAGTGTGGCACTGCTGCATTAAGGTGCACAGCATTTGGTGGCGGATTTATCTCTCGGCTTGCTGGCCACACGGCTGCACGCTGCCCAGAGTATTTGCTATTTCTTTCTATGTTTCAGATTGGCATCATTGGGGAATTATTTTACCGAACAGACACATCCATATGGGACCAATAAGGTGAAACATGTATTTTATAGACTTACATGTGGAACAAGCACTCTTGGGATGCTTGGAGCGCTTCTTACCGGGTAGTTAGGTGTTTTTCACGGACCCAATATGTTCTTTATCAATTCGAGACTTTACTATAAGTAGCTACAGTATATTCCTTCAAAAACAAGTTCTCTTCACCCCAAAAACCAAGTGCTCTATTTCAGCATCTGAAAATTCCGCCTCTCTTCACCGTCTATATCGTCTCCATCGCCGCCATTATCTCCGTCGCCTCCACCGTCTCCGTCGCCTCTGTTGCCCTCGCCGTTGCCCGCCGCCTTTTTATACCATATTCCCGAGTCCTGATCCTTGTTGGGACACCCTCGCAAAACAACAACCCTTGCGGCTGTCTGTTGAGCAGCACTGTTGATTATATTCACACCCCACCTCTCCGGTTGATTTTCGTGCTCACACCCGCCGCAGGCGTGTCATTTTGGAGCCCACCGCGAGGGGTTTCCATTTAAACATTGCGTCAGGCTCGGACCGTAGTCTTCGCCCAAATTCCCACCGAAATTTACGTCTCGAGTTCCGGGATATCTTTCAGAACCCACTGAATCTCAACGACACTTCACACCACTCTGACTCCTCTGCTGACGACTTGCTCGTACCAGTACCACATCTCCTCTCACATCACTTTCATTTGGATCCTGTTGATCCAGATTCGCCTACCCTCGCCCATTTTATAGTAACAACGTCGTCATCAGCGTCGCCATCCTCCTCCTCCTCCTCCTCTTCGTCCCAGTCGTCCTCCGTTTCGTCCCATTTTCCCCTCCGCCCCGTTTCTCCAACTCCTCCAGTCATGGCAGCAAATGCAACTATGCCAGCTCGAGGTGCTCGTGGCGCTCCCGAATTCGATTCCAAGCAGCCTAGGGAGCTGCCCCGTTATTTCTCCGATTTGGAATTCCACTTCACTGCAGCAAATATCACAGATCCGCAGGAAAAGAAGAGGCAGGCAATACGCTACCTGTCATTCGAAGACGCCGAGCTGTGGGAATCCCTTGATTCCTTTTCCCCTGGCATTGGCTACGAGGCGTTCAAGGCAGCCGTTGCAAAGCTATACCCTGGGACCGACGCCGACCGCCGCTACGCACTTGCTGATCTCCACACACTAATTGGGGAGTACGCTAGCGTTGGAATTCTCTCGCGTGCTGACTACAGTGAATTCTACCGAAAATTCCTTGTTATCACCAAGTTCCTCGTCGCAAAAGGGCGTCTTTCTGCTGCAGAGCAGTCTCGATCGTTTCGTCGTGCTATCTCGCCCCCTACGCTCTGGAACCGCGTACACCAGCGCCTGCAGATCAAGCAACCTGATGTGCATCCCGACGACCCGTACGACCTCGCAGATTTGAATGAGGCCATGGAATTTGTCCTCGCCGACTCATCCTACGGTTCTGCAGCTCCTCCGTCCGCGCTTTTGTCGCCTACGCCCGTGAAAAAGGAGTCGGCAGATCCAGGAATCTCGCAATTGATTGAGTCGATGAATGGCTTGATGAAAGTTCTGGCAGCTCAGGCTGCAGTCACGGCTCAAGCTGTTGCGGCTCAACAATCTACTCGACCACCTCCCCCCACAATTCCCGTCAATTCGACTCCTCGGGATCTCAGCTGCAGTTATTGCAGCGAACATGGGCATTTCATCATTCGGTGCCCTCATGTGGATGAAGATATTCAATCTGGGAAGTGTAAACGCAATACGGACGGGCAGGTCGTCCTGCTGAGCGGCGCTTATATTCCACGGCGCATCATGGGCGTCAATTTACGAGCTCGGTTTGACGAATATCACCGCCAGAACCCCGGACAAATGGCCGCTCAAAATATGGTTGAAGTCTCGACTCATTTCTTGACTTCCAATCCAGCAGCGCCGGAGGTATCCACTTTTGCCCTTTCGGATGCTGAGAGAATCCAGTCTCTCGAGCGCGAGATCCTGGCGATGCGCACTCGATCCCAGGCACGTGCTGCACTGGATCGGTCTGGGGACCGCGTCGAAGCCCCGGAACGAGTAGTTCGACCTGCGGCTCAATCTACACCTGCCCCAGCTCGTGTGCCGGCCCCAGCTTCCGCGCCAGCTCCCGCCCCTGTGACCCGTCCTCCGGCTGCTATCCCCGCTACTGCACCTGAACATCCCTACGCGAAAGCCAAAGATGCTGCGTATGCTCCTCCCCGTGACCACAACGTTGGGGCTCGAGCTCCGGTCGTTCCCGCCAAGAAAACTGATCCTGCGTACCGTTCTGTAGCGCCGGTTTACGATCCAAAGCACGAGGATGCTGTTTTCGGCCGAATTCTTGGAGCCAAAATCGAGAATTCGATCGAAGAAATCCTTTCAATCTCTCCGGGTGTACGGTCTCGTATGAGTAACGCCACTACCAGCCGCCGCGTTCCGCCGACCTCTGGTGCCGATTCTAAACCCCCGGCGGTCTCAACCCACATCTACGACGATTTCTCACATAGAAACATGTCCGACAGCGCGGCAATCGAGCCTCTGGACGCCCAGACATCTAACAATGCACGAGACGCCGCATTTCTCGATTCAATGCCTGCTGCGTATGCAAATTCGACTTTGCCACCTGACGCAACTATTATTCCGGACTACTACGAGACAATGATCAACTCGGGCGCCTCTGTGGACGATCTGGTGGTCTCCCTCGAATCTTCGGCGATCCGCTCTGTTCTCCCTGTCGTAGACAATCGTCTCAGGGTCGAGTCTATCGTCGATGGTGGCTCTCAAATAATCGCCATGTCTGAGGCGGTGTGTCACCAGCTGGGTCTTTCATATGATCCCACCGTTATTCTTCGCATGCAATCTGCGAATGGCTCTGTTTCCCCGTCACTTGGCCTTGCACGGAACGTTCCGTTTGCGTTTGACGATATCACACTTTACCTCCAAGTCCACGTCGTCCGAAAACCAGCCTACGACATCTTATTGGGTCGCCCTTTTGATGTTCTCACTGAGAGCATCATCCACAACTTTGCCAATGAGAACCAGACCATTACAATCCGCGATCCCAACACAGGCAAGATTGCAACAATTGCCACCGTTTCACGTGGTTCTCGCCCTCGAATACAGGATTTTCCGCTCTCGAGGATTTGATCACTGATCAAGGAGAGACAGCGTGCATTTTTATACCCAACCCTCTCGATCCTCAAGATTTTATCATTGAATCATCGGCTCAGCTGCCCTCGAACTATTCCTCTACTGATCTCAATTTCCTTTATCTTCTAGCTTCCACCAATCTGGGCGCATATTCTGGTACAGTCCAGTCCGCATATTCGAACGTTCAACCGTCATCTGCAGTGGAGTCCGAGTCTCCCATGGGGGATTCAACTCCCCCTTTGTTTCTCAAGCCGTCACCGCCTCCTCATTACCACGACGCGCCTGTTCCTCTCTACAATCTATCTACATCCTTTTCCAACCCTTATTCCTCTGCTCCACACGTCGACGTCTTTGCAAAGAAACGGTACAAGCCCGTGGCTCAGAAGGTTCGCCCCGTCCTGGGAACTCTTCCCGAAGAATTCCGTATTGTACGCAACATCCGTGGTGACCCGCTCGCATCCATGCCTAGACTTAATCCCAATCCGCCCCCCTTTGTTCCCACCGGTCGTTACACGCTTGAGCGTCACGACGCCATCAATTCCCTTCACCCTGGCGACTTTCTTTGGCCTGAAGAGCGCCGGTTCATGCACCATTTCATGTGCCTGCACCAAGATGGTTTTGCATGGACAGAAACAGAACGCGGAAGGTTCCGCACCGATTTCTTTCAACCAGTCATCATCCCGGTCGTCCCGCACACCCCGTGGGTTCAACGCAACATCCCAATTCCTCCAGGCATCCACGATCAGGTCTGCGATTTAATCCGGCGTAAGATTGATGCTGGCGTCTATGAGCCATCAAATTCCTCTTACCGATCAAGGTGGTTTTGCGTTGTGAAGAAAGACGGCACGAGTCTCCGCCTCGTACACAGCCTGGAGCCTCTAAACGCGGTGACCATCCAGCATTCGGGTGTTCCACCACTCACTGATCAGCTTGCGGAGCATTTTGCCGGCCGTGCTTGTGGCGGAATTCTGGATCTCTACGTGGGATATGACGAGCGTGTGCTCGCAGAAGTCTCACGCGATTTAACAACATTTCAGTCGCCTTTTGGCGCACTTCGCTTGACGACTCTGCCGATGGGTTGGTCCAATTCAGTGCCTATCTTTCATGACGACGTTACGCACATCCTGCAACCTGAAATTCCGCATTTCACCATTCCCTACATTGACGACAGTCCAGTCCGTGGTCCTAGAACTCGTTACGAACTTCCTGGCGGCGGTTACGAAGTGCTTCCGGCCAATCCTGGCATTCGCCGTTTTGTCTGGGAGCATTTTCAGACGCTCAACCAAATAGTCCAGCGGATGAAATATTGCGGCGGTACCTTTTCTGGGCCAAAAGCCATCCTCTGCGCCGAGAAAATTACAGTCCTTGGACATGTTTGCACCTACGAGGGGCGTATTCCTGACAATTCACGCGTCGAGAAAATTGTCAATTGGGGACCGTGCCGCAATCTGTCCGAAGTACGTGCCTTTCTTGGAACAGTGGGCGTTGTGCGCATGTTCATCCGCAATTTCGCCCGCCGCGCAAGTCCACTCATTGCGTTGACTCGAAAGGATGCTCAGTTCGTCTTTGGGAGCGAGCAGATCAGCGCTCAAGAGGATCTCAAGGCAGCCTTGCTAGACTCACCGGCGCTGCGCCCACTTGATTATCACTCAGCGGCACCTGTCATTCTCTCCGTCGATACGTCCTATATTGCTGTCGGAGCTACGCTAGCTCAGTGCGATCCTCAGAACCTTGCTCGACGATTCTACGCACGCTTTGGTTCCATCACTTTGAACGAACGCGAATCAAGGTTTTCGCAGCCAAAATTGGAGTTGTACGGCTTGTTCCGTGCACTCAAAGCGTGGAAGATCTATCTCATTGGTCTGCGCAATATTGTGGTAGAAGTCGACGCACGATACATCAAGGGCATGCTGTCGAATCCGGATTTAGCACCAAATGCAACTATCAATCGATGGATTTTGGCTATTCTCACCTTCCACTTCACCCTGGTCCACGTCCCTGGCGTTTCACACCGACCGGATGGTTTGTCCAGACGGCCCCTGCAGCCTGGGGATGTAGCAGAACAGGAGGATGATTTCGAAGACTGGATTGATCAGGTGCATGGTTTTGTGCACATGATAAATCACTCACCGCATATTCCTCAACGATCCCGTGCCCTGGTCACCACATTTGTCTCGGATTCATCAATTGTCACTCCCCCTGAGAACGGAAACTCGTCCCTGTCCTATGACGATGTTCCCCGTACCTCTGCTGCCCGCCTGGCCGATTATCGAGTCGATTTAGCCCGAATTTGGCACGAGAAGCTCGAACGTCCACGGGACATGTCTGACAGCGATTATCAGTCGTTTGTCCGGTACTCCATGGAGTTTTTCTTGCGCAAGGGCGCACTCTGGCGAAAACACTCACAGGGCCATCACAAGCTTGTTGTGCCCCCCTCACGTCGAGTTTTCATCCTGCAGTCAGCTCACGACGATGTTGGGCATAAAGGATTCTATGCGACTCGTTCATTGGTCTCTGAGCGCTTCTGGTGGCCGCATATGGCCAAGGACATCCTGTGGTTCGTTCGTACCTGCAATTTGTGTCAGCAACGGCAAACCAGAAAAGTGTTGATACCTCCGACGGTCTCGACGCCGGCACCAATCTTCGCAAAGATGTATATGGACACCATGCATCTCCCGACCAGCGGCGGCTTCCGATATATCGTTCAAGGACGCTGTTCGTTGACCCACTATCCCGAATGGCGTATGCTTCGCCGCGAAACTGCTCAAACTCTAGCCGCATGGATTTTTGAAGATATCCTGTGCCGTTGGGGCACCCTGGTGGAAATTGTCACAGATAATGGCACCCCATTTGTGAGAGCGTTGACGCACCTTGAAAAACAGTACCACATCCGACATATCCGCATTTCTGGCTACAACTCCCGTGCCAACTTGTCCGAGCGGCCGCATTTTGATGTGCGAGAGTCCCTGTTCAAAGCAGCTGACGGCGTCCAATCGAAATGGCATACAACAGCACATTCCGTCTTCTGGGCAGACAGAGTCACGCTTTGACGACGCATGGGCTGCTCACCTTTCTTTGCGGTCACCGGAGCCCACCCGCTACTTCCACTTGACATATCCGAAGCCACCTACCTCCTTCCCGCCCCAGAATCCGTGCTATCAACCACGGAACTCATCTCTTGTCGTGCAATTGCGCTGCAGAAGCGACGAGAACACCTGTCGTTCCTTCATTCCGCTGTCCTCGAAGCCCGCATCCAGGAAGCGATCCGTTTCGAGCGAGAACACGCACATACAATACGCAATTACGACTTCCAGAGGGGCGATCTGGTCCTGATGCGGAACACTGCAATCGAGAAGTCGTTGAGCCGCAAAATGCGCAAGCAATATCTGGGACCGCTGATTGTCATCTCAAGGAATAGAGGGGGCGCTTACATTCTCTCTGAGCTTGACGGCTCTGTCTTCCACCGCCCTATTGCCGCATTTCGAGTCATCCCATACTTTGCACGACTCAAGATCCCAATCCCACCTCTCGAAGACTTGCTGGACATCTCAACAGAACGGTTACGCGAGCTCGAGGAGTCGATCTTGGCCAATCCAGAAGACGAGGAAAGCGATTCTGAGCTGCCAGGCAAAAGTGAAGACCGACTCTGATCCCCCCATGCACCCACTACACCCTCAATCCATCCATAGAATCGCCCTTTTCAAATTCGTCCTGTTGAGGCTCTCGTGCGCCGGAAGCTGACTGAGGACAGTCAGATTTTCAGTTGGAGGGAGATGACAAGCGTTGACACGCCCTGGCTTTGTAAGCGATCAGTGTGGCACTGCTGCATTAAGGTGCACAGCATTTGGTGGCGGATTTATCTCTCGGCTTGCTGGCCACACGGCTGCACGCTGCCCAGAGTATTTGCTATTTCTTTCTATGTTTCAGATTGGCATCATTGGGGAATTATTTTACCGAACAGACACATCCATATGGGACCAATAAGGTGAAACATGTATTTTATAGACTTACATGTGGAACAAGCACTCTTGGGATGCTTGGAGCGCTTCTTACCGGGTAGTTAGGTGTTTTTCACGGACCCAATATGTTCTTTATCAATTCGAGACTTTACTATAAGTAGCTACAGTATATTCCTTCAAAAACAAGTTCTCTTCACCCCAAAAACCAAGTGCTCTATTTCAGCATCTGAAAATTCCGCCTCTCTTCACCGTCTATATCGTCTCCATCGCCGCCATTATCTCCGTCGCCTCCACCGTCTCCGTCGCCTCTGTTGCCCTCGCCGTTGCCCGCCGCCTTTTTATACCATATTCCCGAGTCCTGATCCTTGTTGGGACACCCTCGCAAAACAACAACCCTTGCGGCTGTCTGTTGAGCAGCACTGTTGATTATATTCACACCCCACCTCTCCGGTTGATTTTCGTGCTCACACCCGCCGCAGGCGTGTCACCGTGCCACCAGATTCCAAACCCGACTCGACCGTCGCGTGACTGACACTGGATCTGGATGGTCTAAGCGCCGAGGCAGCGTGCTAACAAGGGGATCCGGTTCTTGAGAAATAGGACGTATCCAACCAACGATGTAGCGATTTCCGTAATTGACCATCGTCCTGTCACAAGGCCTCTTCCTTCGCATCTCCTTGAGAACCATTCTTACGCACTGTCCAGACGAGGGCCACTTGCCAGGAAAATAATGAAATTCTACAATCCAAAATTGCTGAGAGCGCCGACGACTGACCCTAAGCGGATTTTCGCTGGTCGATTCGCCTTGTGTAGATCGTCTCCTTTCAAATTGCACGCGTCCGAAGTATCTAAGCTCCGGCCGATGATGTCCGTGATACGCTTCCAACACACTCTTCTTCGCTTTGACCGCGACTCGAGTAGACCTCCGATGTTTTCGAGCTGCTTGAATGGCGCAAGGCAGCCCAGTTTCGTGTTAATCCTGCACCAGAGGCTTTGCATCAGTTCTCTAAATGAAGGTGGGTGGCCCAATGATGCTGCAAGCTTTTGGATTTACGTTCCTCCTGTAACCTGCTCATTTATTGTTGAACAATGTCCAAACTAACAATTTTTGCTCGAATTGCTCGTCCTGTCTCCTGTGCTACCATCCAGATACTTTCACCACGATAAGATTCATTTCACTACCGGTTTTGCGTCCAGATGATCGAAAAAAGTCAGGCCAAAGGCTCGGAAAGCCTGAGCTCCGGAAAGCCGGTCCTGACTCCAGTGTGACTAGCACATGTGGGAGTGTTACTCGGAGTACGATCCCGAGGTTCATAGAGAATTCCACACGATCAGTGGCGCAATGCGAGGAAAGTCTACACCGGGATGGGATATTTTCACCAGCATCCTGGACAAGGTCTTTGAGACGTTGACAGTTTTAGGATAGAGAATTTGAATTGAAAGGATCGCAAATTTTTGTTTTTACTGATTAGAACATTCCGAAAGGATCGGCTGCAGAAAGCGCCTCGAAGAAGGTCGAAACAATTCCAGACGGCCGGTACCAGACCAGTCAGTGACGTGATATCCCAAGCTCTCCTCCCGAAGCACCCCTGCTGACTACTCTAATGCCGCGAGTCTCACTAACAACTGAGAGACCGTTACTAATCATACGACAAGTTCAACGATAAGCATGGGCCAGAGAAGCCACGATCAAGAATTTGTCGTCCTTCTGCCGCAGCTCACCGGTCGAAAGATAACAAAATCGTAAAATGGTTTCAGCCAGCCTCAGAAAAAGAGCAGTCCAGAGTTGAATCGATATGAAAAGCAGATGCGACATTCGCGAATCGGATGAGATCGCTCGCTTTGGTCTGATATCGCTGGTAATCGTCACAATCTCCATTCCACAGATCTGTGGAGGCTTACGAAGACGACCTTAATCAGCGGCATGGCATACGCGTAGTCGCCGATGATCACAGAGTCACACAGCCGGTTTATCTCACAGCCACAATTAAATCACGTCACTCACTCCCAGTGCTGCTTTAAAGGCTCATATTCCAGTCTATCCAAGCCACAACCTCCCCTGCACATCGAAATCGACTCAAAACATGACCACTCCGTATCCTGGCCAAAAAACCGCTGTCAATGTTGTCTTGGTGCGCCGTAGCGAGATTCTGCAGTGCGGACGCCACCTCTGATCTACTGCGCACAGGGCGCCATGACTTTCGGGGCACCGGGGACCTTGGCAGCGCGTGTCTCTGATCTCAAAGATATTGAGGCCATCATCGATGAATTTCTCAGCCACGGCCATCGTGAGGTGCGTTCTCCGCCTTGTGATACACTTTCTGCACACGAGTGAGTGCGCCGGCAGATAGACGCAGCTCGCATGTACGGGGATGGCACGAACGAGCAGTACCTCGGGAAAATCGATTGGAAGAGCAAGGGGATTTTGATGGAGACAAAATTGTACCCGGTTTCGGTTCGCTAAATCTCTGCTTTCTACGTGTGTTCGACGCTGACTGGATCAGCCGGAAACAAGCCACATTGGCGATCACTCACCGGCCAGCATTCGGAAGTTCTGTCAGATGTCTCTCGATGCTCTCAAGACCGAGTGCGTGCTCTCTGCGAAATCCAGGTTGCGATTACTGAACCAACATCATTCAGCACGATCGAAATGTGGTATCTGCACGGTCCGGACCGCAAGACCCCCTTCGAAGACACACTGCGCGCCGTAAACGAGCTCTACAAGGAGGGCAAATTCAAGCGTTTCGGGATCAGCAACTACATGTCATGGGAGGTGGCCGAGCTTTGCGGGATCTGTGAGCGCAACGGCTGGATCAAGCCGACTGTGTATCAGGGCCTCTACAACGCGATCCATCGGGCCGTTGAACCCGAGCTCTTCCCATGCTTGCGTAAATTTGGGATTGCATTTTACGGGTTCAACCCAGTGGGCGGGGGGTTCTTTACGGGCCGGTACTCCAACATCACTGACGAGGCGGATGGCACCTCCCGCTTTCATAGTGAAGGCCGTGTCAGCACTGTAAGATCGATCCAATCGACTCGTCATTTTTCCCGTGCTTGACACCTCTTACCAGCTCTACCGCAAGCGATACTGGCAGCAAGCATATTTCGACGGGTTGAACAAAATCTCTGCAGCAGCGGACAAACACGGCCTTACGATGATTGAAGTCGCTTTGCGCTGGACCATGCATCATTCTTTGATGAAACGCGAATTCGGAGATGCGGTCCTCATCGGTGCATCGAGCATCGCTCACATCAAACAGGTGCGCATCCCACGAAAATCATCTCATTATCTATTTCTGACTGGCCAATGCGCTATAGAATCTGGGCGATTTCGAGAAGGGACCGCTGCGTAAGTGATCCGAAAAGTTGTGAGCGTGGTTTTTAATGTATTTTCAGCCGAAGATGTTGTCGAGGCTTTGGACGAGGCTTGGGCAGGGGTCAAAGGTATCGCAACCCCCTACTACCACTAGTTTGTCTTCCTTTCGGCTGCCTGGAATTCAATCCTGTGAATCGCCCCATTCAACGTTTTCCAATGCATCAGTGCCGCGACAGCCAATCACGGCTCCATTGCTCCTCTGCTGCTCACGAGCCAAGTTGTGCATCATGACTGTCCGATGAAGCTACTTATCGAGGCATGCGCTCACTAGTGTAGGTGTGCTGGCCGCACTGCCGCAATAACTGCCACGAGACCTTGTCCTCCGAATCTGCTTGTCAGCCCTGCTTCCTGCCCAGACACTAGGGAGGGTTTCCTGTCAGGAATGATGAAATCCTGCTGTTCATTCTCTTATTGGAAGGTCTGACCCTGAACCCGATTCCGCTGTTCAAATTGCCGGCGAGAAGGACCATGTTTTCTCATCCTGATCCTTCTTTCTCTTGGTTGTCCTAGTCTCAATGCGCTGTCAATTGTCACCTTCTGCTTCGTTTGAGTCGTGTCAGTGTTCCACTGCAGCTCTTGTCCCTATTTCGTATGATCGATCCGTTACGGCCATTGGGTCTTCATCGCTCCTTTGCTGCTACCACGTTTCGGTGCCCATAGGCGCACGTGCATGCATCCATGGCCATCCTTATCACAGTTGTATCCACCACCAACGTGACGATTCCCCGTGCGCGAGGCTCTTGAAACACGCCGTCAGTCAGCCGCGCGACGAAAGGGAGCAACGGCCCTGAGATCAGCAATCTTTTGATAGAAATCATCACGGCATAGCTGGTCGGTGTCTTGGCAAAGAAGGACCTCTCGCTATCTGGGTCCCCTGTCAATCCTCGAAAGAAGATTCAGCTGGTCCAGTCTGTCTAATCAAATTTGACATTGCGCAACGGGCCGTGGAATCCGTCCCACATGAGCCTAAGTGACGCCAATGGAATCAGTCAGCAACCTTTCTCTTCTCAGCTGCTTGTTTTTTCGGTGGCAATGGTCCTGATTTGAGCTGTCAGCCAAAAATTCTGCGCTACCTGGGTCAGGTGTTAGACCTAGAATCACTCGGAATGGTCTGACATGGTAGCTCTCTTTCGGCAGCAATAATAGGGGCATTGTAAAACTGTATACGTTAGATTAAACTGGGCCGCGGCAATCAGCGCAGCAAGCTCGTAAGCAAGGTATTTGGAGCTTGAAGTCAAAGTAATGGGCAACGCTGGTGGCTACAAATTCGCAGACAAGAGGGATTGCATTCCCTGCTTGCCGTCATGCATTGAGTCCATAGGCTATTTCGTAATAGTAGCCTGCCCACCTCTGACCCTGGTGTCCAGTAACCTCAGGGTCGAATGCTCGCAAACGTGCATTCCTAAAGTCAATAATGACCTAGACTTGGTTCCCAGAGCTCCATCCACCCTACCAGAATAAATGTCTCCGATAATGAATGCGTTCTATGGCTTCAGGAGCGCCGACTCCAAGAATCTGAATCGACCTGTCGCGGGTACTACTTCGAGATACGGTCTCAGCCGATCGATGCTGATGTCATCAGCCGATTCCTTGAGCTGCTGAGTCACATCAGTTACCACATCCCCCGTTCTACCGAGTTCGGCAGAATCATTCAATCAGGCAAGTTTTCACTCAAATTTCAGTGGGGTGCGGTGCCTTAGGCGGCCCTGCTTCTTATCCTGGGTGCATTTTAGTGTGCAGCTGGCTCTGTAAATAGCACTTCCTTCGATGATCTGGATTTGGCAGGGAGGAAATCGTAACCGCGATCAGACTTGAAATCCAGAAAAAGTGCAAGTGGCTCAGAGATTGGACGAAGCTGACGCATTGCACACTTTGGACGGCCCGCGTACGTGAGACGCCCACGTACTTTAGTTTAATTGTGAGTCAACTGCGGCGCCGGAAGTAAAAGATCTGAATTGAGATCAACGCGCGTCTTGAGCCGCGATTGTGTCATAAGGGAGTTTGATCTTCGGTATAAATCATCCTCTTCGCTTTGGCGAGCTGCGTCCCTTTGTCCCTCCTCTCCCTCCCCTCCCCCTCACGAGTCTTTCACGCCGTGCAACGAACGCGAAACATGAACGATTCCAGAGCCGCGTCCCCCACGATCCGGGACTCCACTTCCGCCGCATCACATGAAGGCGCTGCAAGGGAGCTCAGCGAAAAAGCCGCCGTTTCTGAAGGAAAAGCGGGTGTCGATGCGCCCTCCGACGAAGAGATCCAGTATCCCCAAGGCGTCCGACTTGCCCTCATCACCCTTGCGTTGTGTCTCTCCGTCTTCCTCGTCGCCTTGGTATGTTTCACCTCCTTTGTTTGATCCACGCTTGACTGACCACGCTTCCGCAGGACAACACGATCATTGGTGATTACATCCCACGGCTGTCCATCGAGCGGGGACTAATCTCCTCCAGCCACTGCCATTCCTAAGATCACGGACCAGTTCAACAGCTTGGCCGATGTGGGTTGGTATGCATCCGCGTGCGTTTTTTTCGTTCTTTCATCTCGCTCTGCCGTTGACTGCGACCAGATACCTCCTCACGACTGCGGCGTTCCAGCTGCTGTTTGGCCGTTTCTACTCGTTCCTGTCTTTGAAATGGGTGCGTGCTCCACGCGATACATCCCTCAATGCGCTCATCCTGTCCAGGTCTACATCACCGCGATCGTCATCTTCGAAATCGGCTCCCTGATCTGTGGTGTGGCCCAGAACTCGACGACGCTCATCGTCGGACGTGCCATCGCCGGCCTCGGCAGCGCAGGACTCTTCTCTGGCGCGCTGATCATCGTCGCCAACTCTGTCCCCCTCACGCAACGCCCGATGTATACTGGGCTCATCGGTGCGATGTACGGCATTGCTAGTGTGGCAGGACCTCTGCTCGGGGGTGCGTTCACGGACAAGGTGTCGTGGCGGTGGTGCTTCTTCGTGCGTGCCATGTTTGTTTCGCTCTGCTTTTCCTCCTTTCTCACCTGCGCCAGATCAATCTGCCTCTCGGGGGTGTCACCCTCTTCGTCATTACGTTCTTCTTCCATGCGCCAAAGACCCACAGACAGGCGAAGCAGGAGATGACGCGCTGGGAACGGTTCAACCAGTTCGACCCGCTCGGAACGATCATCTTCGTCCCCGCCATTGTCTGCCTGCTGCTCGCGCTGCAGTGGGGTGGATCCAAGTACCCGTGGTCGAACGGGCGCATCATTGCGCTCTTTGTGATCTTCGCCGTGCTCATCGTCGCCTTCGGCATCATCCAAGTATGGAAGCAGGACCTCGGCACAGTCCCTCCCCGGATCTTGAAGAAGCGCAGTATTCTGTTTGGCGCATGGTACGCACTGTGCCTCGGCGCGTCGTTCTTCCTGCTCGTGTACTATGTACGTCTCCGCTCACCTGACCGCGTTCTGAACCGCTGACTGATCTCCGCTTCCGTGTGCAGCTGCCGATCTGGTTCCAAGCCATCAAGGGCGTTACCGCCGTCAAGTCCGGGATCGACAACCTGCCGATGATTCTGTCGCTGGTTATCGCGTCGCTGATCGCGGGCGGCATCATCACCGCCGTCGGATACTATACGCCGTTCATGATCCTGTCCTCGATCCTCATGGGTGTTGGCGCCGGTCTGCTCTCGACGTTCACCGCAACCACCGGGCACGCGCACTGGATTGGGTTCCAGATCATCTACGGCTTGGGTGTCGGATTCGGCATGCAGCAGACGATCATCGCGGCGCAGACCGTGCTCGAGCTGAAGGACATTGCGACCGGAACATCCCTCCTCATGTTCATCCAGACTCTGTGAGTGTGCATTGGTATCCTCCGGCATCTTCACGGTTACTGACACTCCTGTCAGTGGCGGCGCACTGTTTGTCTCTGTCGGCGAGAACGTATTCACGAACAAGCTTGTGTCCGGGATCGCCACGCACGCACCGCACGTCGATCCCGCGCTCATCCTGCGCGCCGGCGCCACCTCGCTGCGGAACACCGTGCCCGCGGCGGACCTGCCCGGTGTGCTCATCGCTTACAACGACGCGCTCGTGTCTGCGTTCTACGTCTCGGTCGCGATGGGCGCGCTGTCGCTGTTCGGTGCGCTCGGCATGGAGTGGAAGAGCGTCAAAGGCAAGAACATCGAGATGGCAATGGGCTGAGTTCGGCTCCTCTTGCGATGTGCCTGTATTTCATACGTACTACATATATAGAGTCATTATATCAGCCATCTCAGGAATTTGTAATCTTCTTTGGGTTCAGTTGTCGCAGTTTTGGCAGACACATGAGTTCACACGCTCTAGATCATGTATCTTGGCACGATTTGCAACTCAATGCAGCAAGTAGTCCCCGACTTCACCAATCTGCAAATCCTGCCAGCTTACCGTCCCAGCTCCACCAGATCATCTCATCCTCCTCCGGCGTCCCCTCCGCAGGCTCAGCAAAGTCTACGCCAGGATTCCGACAAGTCAGCCACAATCCCTCTGGCTTCGCGCCGCGCGATTTACCAGCCCGAGTCCGGGAGGTGGCTGCGACCACGTCGCCTGCTTCCTCTCGGAACTCGCGCAGAGTCGCGTCCAATCCCGCGGAGGTCGTCTGCCGGGGCACCCAAGCTGGGTGCTTGAACCGGCGAGGGGCACGGAGGAGGATGTGGATCTGCGTGGGCGCTATGGAGGTGTGGGTGTCAGTTATACAGTGGCGAGCAGGTGGCGTTGAGCACGGACCGAGCTCGCACGACATGCTGTGCTCCGCGGTAGCGAGCGTATGCGAGAGCTGGCGGTTTGCGGAGCGCAGCACTTGTTGTGTGGATTCTTGTAGCGTCGGGATCGGAGCGGGTGCTGGCTGGCTGGGAGGAGGAGACGACTGGAGGGACGGAGACGGAGAGCGGGAGTCAGGTGGAGGAGTGTGTGGGTCATCCTCTGTGTCCGATGGTGGCGCTTCTTCATCGTCCGAGCGTCGGGAATCGTCATCCGAGCTATCACTGTCCGAGATGTCACCATCCTCCTCCTCCCCCTCACTATCGCTGTCATCGTTGTCGTCTCCCTCGAACTCGTCCTCTCGCTCCCCCCACACCTTCGTAACTAGCCCATCGACCGCATACATCACCTTCGTCTTCGCCGCACCGACGCTCGGCCCCACGAGGACGGCCAGGTACCCTTTGCGCGGGGGTCGCGCAACCACAGGGCCACCGTCAACGAGCGCAAGGGCCGTCGAGAGCGCGGCGAACGTTGTGATCAGATGCGAGCCGAGCGTGTCGAACGCGGCGAGCAGGTCTGTGCGGTGCTTCAGCGCTTTAGGCGCGGACTGCACGAGGGGGTCAGTGTGCCAGGCCGACGGCAGCGGGCTGACGGAAGGATTACGCGCCTTGGTACCGGGGATACGAGCGAGCTGCGCGACGGGGCTGGGATGCGGTGTTTAGCGCGCGCGACGACACGGCGGGGAGGGCAGTGTGCTCACAAGGGGATCTGGTTTTTGAGGAACAGGACGTGTCCGACCAGGGATGTAGCGAGTTCTCCGGCGATCTCGGCGCTCAGACCATCCAGATCCAGTGTCAGTCGCGCGACGGTCGAGTCGGGTTTAGAATCTGGTGGCACGGGAGGCTGAGAGATCGCCTCTGGCGCGGTTACGGGCGTTAATTCAACATTTCTCGAAGTCGCGGAAGATGGCGGGGGCGAGGACGGCGCGAGCAATGGCATTTTCCGTCGTACAGTCGTCGGCGGTCGAGAGCAAGCCCGGGTGACAGATGGCACGTGCTCGTGTTGCAGATGTCATGCAACACCACGTGGCCAAAGAGATCGTCAGTGTTCGCGCGTGGCCGAAAAGGTATCCTAAGGTATCCTCGCTGAGAGGTGGGAAGACCCCCAGAAGATATTTTTTGAGCAGAGAAATCAGTGATTTCTCTGTTGATTCAACGATTAACAGAATGTCTACTCTAAAGTGAACAGAATCAGGGGACAGCCCTGTGCCCTAGCCCCCGGCATCAACATCCCCACTCGGACGCTTCTTCACGCTCTTCCACTCGAGCGCGAGGGCCCCAAACACGGAGAGTGCGCCCGTAGCAACAGAGACGTAGATGGCCGCCATCAGCGCGTCGTTGTATGCCAGCAGCACGCCCGGGAGGTCGGCAGCGGGGATCGCGGTGCGCAGGTTCGTGGCGCCGGCGTGGATGACGGTCGAGACGCTGACGTTCGGCGCGCGGGAGGCGACGCGGGAGATGAGCGTGTTCGTGAACACGTTTTGGCTGATCGAGACGCCCAGCGCGCCGCCGCTGTTTGGACAATTGAGAGGGCAAGCAGTGAGGTGCAAAACATCGAAACGCACAGTACTTGGAGGAAAGCCATCACGGCGGTCCCGGTGGGGACGTCCTCAATCTTGAGCACCGCCTGCGCTGCCAAGATCGGCTGCTGGGTCCCGCATCCCATCCCCAGTCCGTAGACGACCTGGTACCCGATCCAGTGCGCGTGGCCAGTCGTCGGGGTGAAGGTCGAGATCAGGCCCGCTCCGATGGCAATGAGCACAGACGCCGCGATTGCGAACGGGGTGTAGTACCCGGTGACCGAGACGAGGACACCGGCGACGAGGGAAGCGACGACGAGGGACATGATCAGCGGCAGATTATCGATGCCGGATTTCACGGCGGAGACGCCCTTGATGGCCTGGAACCAGAGCGGGAGCTGGTCGTGTTTTCAGCGGGCGCGACAGCAGTGACGTGCAGCCACTCACGTAGTACACGAGGAGGAAGTACGATGCGCCGGTGAAGAACATGAACCATGCTCCGGCGAGAATGCTGCGCTGCTGCAAGATCCGCGGAGGCACCGTTGCGTTCTCCTGCTCCCGGATCTGGACTGCGACGAAGACAGAGAGAAGAAGAGCGGCGACCACAAAGAGCGCGATGATCCGCCCGTTCGACCAGGCATATCTCGACCCACCCCACTGCAGCGCGAGCAGCAGACAGATGATGGCTGGGACAAAGACGAGCGTTCCGACAGGGTCGAATCGGCGTATCTTTTCGACGAGAGTCAGGTTCCCGCGAGCCTTGACGCGCGGCGGAGACTTGAAGAAGACGACGATAGTCAAGAGCGTCACCGCTCCCAGTGGGAGATTGATCTGCAAAATCCCATCAGTTCACGCGTCGAGTGCCACGGATTCTCAGACGCACGTAGAAACACCACCTCCACGTCACTTTGTCGGTGAAGACGCCTCCCAGCAGCGGGCCGACTACGCTGGCCATGCCATACATCGACCCAATGATCCCCGAGAACATCGGCCGTCGCTCGAGCGGGGCAGAGTTGGCGATGATAATGAGCGCGCCGGAAAAGATGCCAGAGCTGCCCAGACCGGCGATGGCGCGTCCCACGATGAGCGTCGTCGAGTTTTGTGCCACTCCGCAGATGAGGGACCCCAGCTCAAAGATGACGATCGCAGCGACGTATACCTGATTTGAGTCGTCAGTTACGTGTAGCTCCGGAAAAAAAAACATGTTCCTACCCATTTGAGAGAGAGGATCGAGTAGAAGCGCCCGAACAGCAATTGGAACGCGGACGTCGTGAGCAGATATCTTTTTCGTTGTCAGCGCAAAGTTCAACAGCAACACCGAGCGACTGACGCAGAGCCATACCACCCGACATCAGCCAAGCTGTTGAACTGGTCGGTAATTTTTGGGATTGCGGTCGCTGCAAAAAAGTTGTAATTATGGCATCAAGTGACCCGCCTGTCCCGACCGACTGACCGATGATGGTATTATCCTGCGCCGACGAGATCAGAATACAAAGCCGAGCGTCTTAGACATAATTCAACCCACCAAGGCGACCAGAAAAACGGACAGGCACAGCGCGAGGACGATCAACGCGAGCTTCATCCCGCGGGGATACTCGACGTCCTCCCTGTCGTGAATTTTCGTGGGCTCCAATTTCTCGGAGTCGCCTGAGGGGGGTGTGATGTGATTGAGCTCGAGTGGATCGGAGAGCATGGTGGATTTTGCGAGGGGCTAGAGGTGTTGGTGCCAACGTAGTGCTGCCGAAGCATGTTCATATAGGACTTGAGCACGGAGGCGAGGGTGAGTCACCTCGGCCGTCTCGGTTCCTTGAGGTCCCGGATGATGACTGCGAAAAACTTTGGTTCCCACAACGTGGTGGAAGTATCCGCCGCGGAGACAAGACGTGGGAAGTGCACGATCAGGGCTTGGCATGACCAGCCTACGCCGGCCCCGAGTCGTAAGTCATGAGCTTGATCCAGTGCGTGGTTCCCGGATCCGATACCTTGAATTCTCTGAGTTCACGACAGAAGAACCACATCGGAGAGTATGCATGCTCTGCACTTGCATGTCGAGATTCGAGTCAGACCCAGGACCAACCAGTTAAGGGTTGAAGTTGGTGCAAGGTAAACGTGACTCAGGCTCGTCACGAGCCCCAAAGCGGCTCGCACCAGCCGCCCACTGGCACAACGAAACATTTCCCCAGTGTCCTGTCTAAGAATGCTCATAACCGCATCGTCGCGTTCATCCATTGCTGCCTCTCGGTGGCGCTGAGGCCCTCTTTTCTGTGCTCATCTCCGTGCTGGTGACGAATTGATGACCTGTCGCCGGATGCTGAGCTTGCCAACTCGGATAACTGCGAGAGGGAGACACAGGTGTTGAGCCGGGCCGCAAACGTGACCGCATACGTCTGGTATGTCGCGCGCTCGCTGTTGCGCACAGCTTGTGGGGATAGCTAGCAGCGCGGCGCGCCTGCCTACGCTCGGGATCGGCTGTCCGCGCGCGTTTGTCTATGCAAAACCATGATTCGGCATTGCCTCTCTGTTTCTGCGCTTTCAACTCAAACTTTTGGTCAGTCTGTCACTCTGGGATTCAGGACTTTGCAGCAGAGAGACGACTGGTGATGTGTAAGATCCCCCGAGCTGCTTCGTGATGGAGATCGGGAGGTAGCAAGTGGTTGTACAGAGTGAGCACAATCTATCATGTACCCGTACAATTACATCGGGACCGTCACTTGGAGAAGAGGCTCTCCGTCCATTATGAAATCGAGCTCAGCCCTAGTGACACACACCAACCGCACGGGCAAGGCATCACATCGCAAGTACCTCCTCCCCAAGCACCTGTCTCAGCAGCACCTCGACGCGCTCACGGTCCTCGCTGATCCGGCGCATCTCGTCAATCCACCGCGCCTCCCGCTGCTCGTAGATGCCCTTCAGTGCCCCGAGACTGCCCAACGCAGTGCCCAGCGCCCGCCGCAGATCCTCCTCCCGGATCGACGAGTCCGACGACCCGTCCGTGCCCATGAACCGGTCCGCGAGCGAGGTCGGGCTGGCGCGGGCAGCACGCCGCTGGTGCGCTACCTGCCGGAATCCGCTGCGCACAGATCCCAGCGACTGTGCCAGGAGCGGGGAGCGCCTGATCGAGCGCGAGGTGAGCGAGTGCAGTTTCGTCGAGTGCGACGGGGCCGCGAGCAGGACGAGCGTTGCGTCTGTTTGGCGGTCCAGCGCGTTGAACTGGAGGTGGGCGGGGTCAGTGTTTTGTTTCAGAGAAAACGGGGGATAAGTCAACGCACAGCTTGCACGAGGGCATCCCAGCGAGTCTCCCATCGCCTGCGACGCTTTTCCACATTGCCCACAAACGTCGGATGGTATTCGAGGTCCAGCAGGTCCTCCTCGTCGCCGTCCTCATCCTCGTCGACCCAGTCTCCGTCATCGTCGATGCTTCCTTCGGTAACGGTCGCAGAGACCTCGACGACCTTCTGCTCCTCCATCTCACCGGCAGTCTCCTCCCCAGACGACTCTTCCGGCTCCGGCGTCGACCGGGGCTGCGTGCTTTCGACGCGCGGCGGGGGTTTCCTCGCTGAAGATAGCCGTCGCAACGGCGGCTGGTGCACAACGGGCATCTTCTTGACACCTACCGTCGGCGGAATCGGCAGCGCAATCGGCTCGTGGCTCGGGCTGGACTGCATGCTCCGCAGGTCCGAGCGCCCCCCGACGCGAAGCGTCCGATTCGTGTGCAGGAACGCCCACGGGTTGTAGGCGCCGCCTTGGAACGGCGTCGACGCGGGCGAGAACGTCGACTCGGAGATCTGGTCCCCGCCGGCGTTCTGCGCATAAACTTGCCACTGCCGCACGAGCTGCTCCTGGATCGCGCTCGGGTCGTTGTTGATTCCAGACTGGTCGTGTTGTTGTTGCTGCTGATGCTGATGCTGCTGGACAGGTTCGTAGTTGGTGCTTGGCTGTCGCCGCGGTGCTTGATATGGATAGGAGTGGGTCCGGCGCACATGGTTGAACGGATACGGGTAAGGGGACCCGACGGGAACAACTGGGCTGTAAGCCGCTGCACGGTAGTTCGGGTTCAGCGGAGACGGAGACGGCGCCGCCGTCGTGGGCGGGATGGGCGCCTCAGGACGCGGAGACCTGAAGTAGGCTTGGAGCTGTGGGTGATCCATGTAATGATCCTCAAACTCGTGTGCGTAGTACTGCTGTTGCTGTTGCTGTTGCTGCTGCAGCTGCTGCCGCCGGGGCTCGACATAGCGAGGCGGCGGCGCCCGCTCAGGATCTGGTGGCAGCGCAACGAACATCGCGGGATCGAGCGAATGCAAACCCAGTTGATCAGTCGATCCATTCCGCGTCCTCCCGCGAACATTCGCAGCATGGCTCGAATATCGCATATACCGGTCCGGCTCGAACGCGTCGTCCAGCGGCAGCGAGGACTGCGGCGATCGCGGGGTGAATCCACCTTGAGAGTCATCCTGGTTGACCATCGTATCCTCGTCTTCGTCAGTCACGTCCTCCGCCCGATGCTCTGCCCGGCTGTTTCGCCCACCGTGAGTGTACATGTTCGGATCGTAAGGGTTTGCATCGGATGACGGGGTAGGCGAGCTCGAGTGCTCGCTAGTCTCCGCGTACTGGATGTGGTTCGAAGCGGCAGCAGCGGGAAGCTCGTCCTCCTGCTCTTCCTGCACAGGCAGGGAACGTGAGTTGGCCGTCATGGCCTGCAGAGGAGGCGTCTGCCCATGTGTTCCCACCGCCAGCAACACAGCAGCGGCAGCATTCGACATCCTGCGAGGCTGCTCTACGGAATACGACCCGTATTCGACCGGAGAGTTCTGCCCTACAAAGGCAGATGTCGGCGGTGAGACAGACTGGCGCGCCTTGGGACTCTCCCGAAGTGGCTGCTGGCGTTGCCGCTGTTGCTGCTGCATTTGCTGCTGTTGGGTCTGCTGCTGCCCTTGCTGCTGCTGCTGCTGTTGTTGGGAATCCAACGTTTTCGGACTGACCCGGTCGGCAGCCCGTATCCGCTCTACAGCCGGATCCAGCTTGGTAGGAACCATGCTGATGGCAGCAGCAGCAGCGGCAGCGGCGGCAGCACCCTGCTGTGACTGCTGAAGATCTGCCCGCTCGATCTCCGCCATCAACTCGTCCGTCATCTTCCAGTTCTCATCCAGCTTCGTCAAGAACTCGGGCGGCGGCCCACGGTTTATCGGCCGCGGATGGTGCGGTGGCGTCACCGCAACGTCGCGCTCGGCCGCGACGTCTTGCGCAGGGGAATGGCGCTGGTGCGGCGGCGAGGGCAGCAGTCGCGAGTTCGGGGGCGATCGGTTCGCGGACGTCGGGCTCCCGTTGCCCTGCTGGAACATGTGCATGACGCTGGGCACGATGGGCATGGATGCCGCTTTCATGTTGCGTGGCCTCAAAGTAGGCGATGGCGACATCTCCCTGGTCTGCATGTGCCCTATTGAGACAAGGCCGTCAGCGATGTTGTTTGGTCACGCCCTGCATGAGGTGGGCGGACAATCTGCGCAGCCAGATCTCCGCGCACAGGACGATGACGGAAGAAAGAAAGAAGACGGAACGGACCTGGTGTGGACGGGTGCGCTTGCGGCTTCCGGGTGCGTTGAAGTTGTTGGGAGTGGCTGGCCATGGAATGGGGGGAGGATGGATCGAGGATGGTCTTTAACGGAGAGAAAAAGAGTCCTGGCCGTTCCAACGTGTTAAGAGGAGACGGTGTCAACCGCACAACAACGAGGCGCCCATCTTCGGTCGTCCATCTTGGGTAACTGCGGCCTCGAGGCTAACCCACACTGCCCGGTCCGAACCTTGATCGATGGAAATCATCGGCAATCGCCAAAACAATAGCTATCACCCGGATAAGATAATCGATTAGATGTAGGCTCAGATCGCTTGTCACTGACTTGGAAGGGGCGATATAAATTAAGCCACAGCTATGGTACATATATGGCTACTTTTCAATCCAGGGCGTCCGGGTACAGCTCGTGTGCCACCCTCTCAGCCTCAACCTCCGCTTCTCCGAGCGGCCCAGCAGCTTTGGCGTTAGCTTTAGCCTCAGTAGATGACTGGGATGCAGACCCAGCCGAAGACTCTGGCGAAGACTCGGCAGCTGAATCTGCCGACGACTCTGCACTCGCTATGGACTCCATGACTGAGCTGATGATACTTTCCTCGACTTGAACCACAGGTGGCGGGGCAGCCTTGCTCTGAGCTTCCTGCTGTTGACCCGCAAAGACATCTCGACCCGGCTCCGGCTTGACAACAAAGGCAGAAGTGTGCCCTGGCTGCACTTGAGGTGCGGGAGTAGCTCCCCCATATTCTTCGTACTGTGAACGAGGTCAGCCTCAAGGACAGTTAGCCAGCGGGAAGCGTCACCGTGTTTGGGAATTCGTCACTGAGGCAAGTCAAAGACCATCCTGTTGCGACAGCAAGCTCACGTACCAGGAAAAGTCCCATGTCTTGAGCCACTTGGCACTAAGACATTTGCCTTTCGTCCAATCCGTGCCATACACAATCGGGCTGAATTTGGCAAAGTTCCAGATGGCGATAAGCACCAGAACACCGGCGATCTGAAGTCGCACCCGAGGGCGAAGCGATGACGTCACCAGATCGAAGACACCAGCGAACAACAGGATGGCGAAGTAAAGTGCGGGGAAGTAGTGGTGCAGGAAGAGCTGTCGACCCATGATGAAGAACGGGAAATAGTGCATGAACCACCCCAAGAACAGGAATCCGCAGATCCCGTCGTACTTGACCACCCGCGCTGAAGGAATAGTAAGCATGTCTGTCCCATGTAGCACAGTGTGCCACGTACAGTTGTCAAAGTCGCGGTAACCCCGCTTCTGACGAAGAACCAGGAAGCCGCGGACGGCGATATAGCTAAACACAGCGAGCGAGCTTAGCCACCAAACAAGAGCGTTGCCCATGAGATAGATCTGACGGTGGTCTTTCACCCAGAAGTTCTGCCTTGCTTTGAGCCATCACATCCAAAAGCATCCTTTAGCACACTCACGATTCCCCGGCGAAGACGAGGCCAAGATTCCGGACGCGAGTCAAACGAATGTCTGTCTGTCAATCCGGCATTTGTCGTCCACATGACCTGCTGGAG